ATGTTCATAGATGTTCTCGAGGGCACTGTAAGAGTTCTGATAAGGATGGAATAATCAACCAGTGTTCTCTAGTGAAATCCGTAAACATTCTCGAGGTATGTCGAGGAATGGCCAAGAATAACGTCTATGAGATTCCAAGAGTCCTGAAATGATGACACAAAGTTTATTCAGCTGTTTTCATTTGGTTATCAGTTGGAAATTCCTCAGGGAGGGGGTGGTGCGTCAGATCACGTTCTCCAGGCGAATTCAGATAAGATGGCCTTCAAGGCCAGCCAAGGGAGCCAAATTTAGATAAACACGCATTTGTTTTGGGGACAGGCAAAACTTAATGACCTCTACCTTGAGTCTGTGTCACTCCGCTCAGTTCCAAAATGTCCTAAATACATGGCCACATCGAAGGAACGTGCCTGAGTAAAATCCCCGAGATCTGATCCATTCTGCTCAAAGCATTTAAGTCTGGGTACTCGAGGCACGAACCAAGCCATCATAAAGACAAGCAGCGTAATCGGGTCCCAATTTGCTGCCAACGACTTCCTTGATTGTTGATAAAACCAGCAACCAACCAAATCCAAAAAGTAGGAACCAGTTATCGTAAATCCAATTTAATATGCGTCCTTAAAATCCACAAATGGCAGCAGAGATAGACACGTCATCAAGTGTTCCAAGTCCATGAAATATCCAGCTGCGTGCGTGCCAACAAGGCAAATCATCTCGCCTAAAGCCTGTGTTCTCTCCGAAGAAATGTTATCAGTTGTGTTGAGGGACCAACTGATCAAAACAAGTCCATAATTATGGTTCGGAAGATATGCAAGAGAGGCTCAGAAGCAGTTTCACAGACAGACGGAGCAGCAAAGCAAAGCAGAGAGGGAAGGGAGGGGAACAGTGTCTGATCTAGGCAAGAGCAAGTGGTGAAGTGATTGTGGATTTTAGGAGAACCCCCCCCCCCCCCCCCCACACACACACACACACCTTTCCTGCACATAGGAGGATCTGCAGTGGAAGTGGTCTCCAGTTACAAGTACTTGGGTGTGCACCTGACCTGTCCAGGATGTCCCTCGCCCCTCGCACAGTGACTGCTGGATATGGGCGCCAGTGACCCTTATGACCTGAAAAAGAAGAAGCGGGTAAAAATAGATGGATGGATGGATGGATGGATGGATGGATGGATGGATGGATGGAT